AGAGCAGTCAATCAAAAACTGTATCAATTTTGACTTTTTAGCTGCTTTTATACCGATTGCATTTTAATTATTTCCATCCATAAGACTTGTTCTAATTTGTTGTGAATTGTGTTTTTTACAGAATTCGATAAATTTAGCTATTATATGTTCACTATACCACTATTAATATTTCCTTAATTTATTTTTGATACTATTTGTACTCAATTGTATTCAAATATTTACCCTGTAATTACTTGTTTATTGAGTAATGCAGTATAATTATTAAATAAGTAATTAAAATAATTTAGATGTAACATTTCAAATGGATGAGTAGATATGTTTGTTATTTTCCCTGTAAATGATTACAAAACTATTAAAGTGCATTTTTATTATTCTTAATTTTGTAAAACAATAATAGGCAAAAACCCAAATATTTAAATTTAGTTTATTAATAGTTAGAAAATATTTTATCAAAATAAAGCAAACACTGCCCTGGATAATTTAACAATCACAAGAACAATCTTTCTTTGTTTAAAACATAAATACTAATAATCTGGTTTTCCAGTTATAGGCAATACATTCTAGTAATAAGTAAACAGTATAGAGGTATTTAGTTTTTTTTTAATCCAGAGTGAATTATGATATAACAGTGCCTTTAAAACGGGCAATGCAGTATTTTGATATTATGATATTTAACGATGAGTGTTAGAATTGACGTTTTAAATAATTTTTTAAAGAAACCTTGTTACAAATATGGGGATTTATTTTTCAGATTGTAGTGTATTTGTGATAGTGAACATTTTATGTACGGGTGATTTTCTATAATGTCCACCCACCTTAACTTATTTATTTGGGGCAGCAAAATTTTGTAAAAAATGTGCGCATGTAGGATTTTTTCTGTACTTTTTGCACAGGTATTTGAAAATTGATCAAACGTATTAGTATACAGGGTAGATAAAAAAGTATGCTTTTTTAAATGGAACACTCTCTATCTGAATTGATTTATTGATTCTTCGTTTAATTCCAAGCATTTTTTATATAACAAGTCATATATTAAAAGTCCACGATCTTTGAAATATAGTGAAAATCGGTTATAACGATCTTCAAGGGACTGTTTGTTTACGGTTGTTATAATCGATAGACGTAATAAGCAATTACATGTATTTTATTTTAAGTATGTACAGGGTGATTCACTATATTTTGAACCCCCTTTAACTTTTTTGTTTTAAGAGTTAAAGAAAAATGTGAAATACAAAAGTTGCACGATTTTTTATGAAGTTTTCGAAAGTGATAGTAGAAAAACAAATGAAGTATATTTTTACATATTTGGATAGAATGTTCCCTGCCGAGCACAGTCATATATGGGTTGTTGGGTCCACCTTGAACAATAAGCGAGATAATATTAAATAAAAATTAGTATTTTATATAACTTTCGTTTTTTAATATTATCTTGCTTATTGTTCAAGATGGACCGAACAAATCATATATGACTGTGCTCGGCAGGAAACGTTCTATCCAAATATGTAAAAATATACAGGGTGTTCCATTTAAAATAACAAAGTTAACAGACGCGGCCATTTTGTTTGAACTTCATTTGTTTTCTACTATCATTTTCGAAAACTTGTATTTCACATTTTTTTATCTCTTAAAACAAAAAAGTTAAAGGGGGGGTCAAAATATAGTGAATCACCCTGTACATGTATTGCTTTTTGTTCAAAAGATCTCACAACGCTTCATTTTCAATGAATTGTTTACGAATAGACTTATTTTCTATCCTTCCAAATTGTTGAAATCGTAGTGTGACACGCAACATTCTTTTGCTTGCTTGCATTAGTTTCTTCGTTTTTTAATCTCTACATTATGCAAGGTGTTTATAAATAAGTGCGAAATATTTTAAGGGGTGGTTGTCGAAGTTATTTTGTGAAAAAAAGTTATAAACGTAGGTCGAAATATGCTTCGTTTTAGAGATACAGTCCTTAAATTTTAAAGTTCAAAGTACCGAACCTTAAAAATGTTAATACATGGATTTATTTATGAGTACTATACCCTTGCAAAATACTATTAGAAACAAGAGAAATCAAGTAGTAAGTTTTTGCCTACAGTACAGGTCATCCAGATCTAGAAGGCATCAACGTCGACGACCTGAGTAACAGTTTAGTCTACATCGGGGATTGGTGTCATTGAAGACCATCTGAAGTAATGCTTTAGGCTCCACCATAGGCACTCTACTTTCAATTAGTCTAAATGTAATTGCTATTTCATGTCTACTGGCACACGTCTGTCCATGCTTTGAACACATGATCAGTACTAAACTAAGCGGAAGAAACTAAGAGATATCACATATGCTTTGTAGGTTATATCTCACCACTACTCAAAACATGTCTGTAGATAGACATCCAAATAACTGAAACATTGAATCACCTATAGCATACTGGCGAGAAATAATAATAATAATAATAATAATAATAATAATAATAATAATAATAACAATAATAATAATAATAAGTTCGAAATTCGTCTGTTTGATGACTGCTGATGAATGATCCAGGGCATACAGCCAGTGGAGTAGTTTTTTCATACAATATCAAGTTACAAAATTATTTCCAGAAATATGTTTGTCTGTTGAAATTTTGTCCTAGGTGTTCTGTTTTTATATTTGTAGGTGAAATTCCTTTTATAAAAATAAAAACATTTATATGGACATAGTTTCCAAAATATCCTAAGAGCACTGTACTGCGGCTGTTTAAGCGTTTCCACTCTGAAAACTGACATAAAAAAATTTTCATGGCACATTGTGTACAAAGCAAGATATAAAACCTTACAGGTCAAAATCTTCTCTGAAATTTGAAATGGTTAAAGATATATTATATCTTATACAGGGTGATTCAGTCATAATGTCATTAATTTTAACTACGTTTTCGGAAGGCTTAATAAAGACAGAAAATCGGAAAAAAAAATTTTTACTCGACTTTTAAAAATTAAGGAAATCAACCCATAACTCCCGCTACGAGGGCGGCCCTGGCCGATGCCCGGAAACTCGGAAAATTTTGTAACGTAATGTCACAAACAGTTGTCAGCTAAAGGAACAGCGTTGCCAAGTTCACATCATAATGTGTGGTTCACATTTACTGTTAAACGTATTCAAGTAAATAAAGGAGCTTGCTGCATTTTATTATAAATAGTTTTAACAATTATATTAACTTAGTGTAGAATGTTTTAACGAGCCTGACTTCTCGAAGTAAACTTTCGTTAAAAGAACATACATAAAGCAGAAGTAGTTGCCTGTTTGTAGGCACACTGTATTTTATCAAATAAAAAAGTAGGCACACTATTAAATACCCAAATATACAAAATACACTACACACGGTTACAAAACCATTAACAATTTAAAGCGTTTATTCAAATCTACCACCCTCCATATCTCCCGCATTTTTCCCGCAAAGGAGTTAACATAACACATTTTCAAAAAGTTCAAGCTTTAGAAGCAGCTGATTTCCTCAATCGTCTTGAATTTTGCAATCGGTTCCTAAGTACAGCAGAACTTTATTAACAAAGTGCTCTGGACGGATGAATGCTGTTTTATTTGTGCTGGCATTTTATGGCAACAATAAGTGCCGACCTAGGTTACACCAAAGTTTAGATTTACACTAAAGTTTACATTTATACGCAACTGCATATTGAATAATAAATTGAAATACTAAAACTGTGTATTATTTAACATAATAAATTATAAAACGTGAAAACGTTAATAATATTAAAAATGATAAATTGTAATAACCGTACATAGGAAAACAATCATCCGTATTCATTACATTGTTTGCAGCCGTGTGACTCTGTTTGCCACGGCACTCTATCTGGCTCCTGGACTATTTGTACATGTGCAAATTAAAAAGTGGGTCATTGACCTACACGGTCCATAAAAAAGGATCGTGGTTGACCTAGATCTCGGTCCGATTTTTTTTTTATCTTCTATTACAGTCAGTATTTAAATACTACATACATTTCACCCTCCCTTTATAATTTATCTAGTGAGTGTTGGTTTTTTATGTCATTATTTTTGTAATGAAATTGAAATGGTTGTGAAATGAAATCTAAATTACTTGAACTCTTCATTCTTTTTTTATTTAAAAATTGTCAACATTTCTTAAATATTAAGTCTGTTATATCAGTACACATATCTTTGATTCTTTCATTTGGCATTTGGCTCTATATCAGGGGTCGGTAAGTAATTTTAGGTGGGGTCCGGATACTTTTGAAATTTTTAACGAGGTCCAGAAAAAAATTTATATTTCTTAGTAATTTTTTTATTTTAATTTGCACTCAAATTTAATCTGTATGAAGAACTCAAATCAGTCACACAATTGTAAAATACTAGAAAAAATGATAAGGGTGGCACTCAAACGTAAAAAAAAATATTTTTTAAATAATTTATTTGAGTAATTTATACTTTCAAAAAATTTTTGGCGGTCCAGTATTTTACCTTCTGCGGTCAGGACCTGGACCACAGTCCGCCAGTTGCCAACCGCTGCTCTATATGGTCCCTTTTTTATGGAACATAGGAATGCAATGCCTTATAAGCTATACAGAAACTCAGACTGCATTCATTTAAACGTAGGAGAAATGCAGTTATGATACGAGATTTGTACCTGGAGGGAGGGAGGGGGTTATCAAAACCTATGTAAGGGGGATTTTAATGAATGTTTTTACAAGATGACACAGTCCGGCGATTCTTTAGTCCACAAGGGTATGGTGTTGAGCAAACGTCGACACTCTTGTTCAAAAAGGTCAATACTGGAATACAATAATGGATCTATAGTTATGATCCTGAGCTAAAAGTCTAATCTTTGTAGTAGAAGACGCTTGAAGAGTCACAAATCAAGAAAGCACACCAATGTTGGAAAGACAATTTCAACTGTTTGTTTCGACCAAGAAGTTACTCACCATGAATACACCCCAAAAGGTCAGACGGTGAACAAAGTATATTATAAAATTTTCAAATGATGCAATCAGAAGACACTTACCTTTGCTGTTGCGGGTGCTGCGCCTCAGCACTGCTCCACTGCGTGTGAGGCGGGCGGGCTCTGAAGTGTCCCTTGTCGTCGGCTGGCTACTGCTCGCCCCCAGTGCTACAAATTCTCGTTTTCCACGCTCAGGCAATGATTTTCTCGTTTGTATATTATTGTTATGGGAACTGTTGCTCACTGAAGGTTTACTCTGACTTCTTAATGGATATTTGTGGTTGTGGATCTGCAATGCATGTGAATGTATTGTCATTAATAAATAATAGTGTAAACAATGGCTTGGTAAACAATAAAACAATTTCAAAATATTTATATTTATACTTAATAAAGAGCAATTTATCTATTGGAGACTGCAAAGTAAGTGTATGTAATATGAATACCTTTTCCAATACAGTGATGGATGGGATTTTTTAATAACTGTTCTAGAGAAACTGAGTTACAAAAATTGTGGTATTCATTAGAACAAAAAGTTGTTTTGATATTTATTTTATATGAAATGTGCTCCACACTTGTGTCCGAAATAGGCATAACTTATTCATCATTCGTTATAAAATTTCCTGCTTGTTCACAAATTTTTGAATATTAATATTTTCTTGATTTTATATACAAAGTTTTATATCACTTTGCTTTGACCTCGAGAATATGCCATTAATTTGTATTATATTGTTAATAAAAGAAATGATAGTAATTAAAATTTAATAATTACCTGTGGGTATGTATGATTAGCACTGGAAGTACTAGCTTCCGAGTTGTCGTCCCCAGAAATAGAATGATTCACTTTTAGGTTAAAGCTTGAGTTTCCTTTGTGTTTATGTTTTTCAAGTTTTTTAGTTTTCTCTTTCAAATTACCACCTATTTTTTCAGAGCTTAGATTGTATTTCTCAGATTTATGTAATTTATCTTCCTCCGTTTTTTCTTCAAGTTTAACCCTGGAGCTGCTGGGCGAACTTGAGCTTTTCCTGTGTTTCTTAAGTTTATGTTTCTTTCCAATTTCTGATGAAATTTTACTTAACGAACTAGAAGGTTCAGTGTTATTATTTTTAAAACTAATATCTATGTTATTCTGCTTATGGTTAAGGTCTATACTATGTTTTGCGTTTCTTTTGGTTCTCTGTTCAAGTTCTAAGCTAACTGGTTGCTCTGAATCGGTTTTTTGGTATCTAATTGATGGCCTTCTGGATTTAAAAGGAGGTATAGGAATTTCGATCTTCTTCTTGTCTTTGCTAGTAGATGTTGAGGGAAGTTCACCTTGCGAGCGTGACTTCAAGTTCGTAAGTTCAGACTGTTCTGATTTTTTACTATTTGATTGCCCAGATTTTCCACCTTTAGTCTAAAAAAAAAGTTTAATACAATAATTAAGGTAATAACCATTAACGTTATTAAACTTTTTAAAAACATGATACTGCAGAGGTAATAAATAATAAATAATAAAGGTAATTTTGATGACCAACATATATATCTATATTAAATTAATTTTTTCTTGTCAAAAATTTACAGTATCAGCATAATTATTTAAAATTATTCAAGAATAACACTGAATTATACAATTTCACCCTTTTCTTTACCACCATCCTTTATACACACATATTTATACCATTCAAATAAGCAGCTAAGGATCATAGTGCCAGTTTTTTATTATATAGCGAATTCAGATAGTTTCTTGAACAATTTATTGAGTTAGCAATTATTAATTGTAAAACCCTTTTTACTTTAGAAAATTGTTTAACAAATTTCTGACTTATTAATTATTATTTATAAACAAACTTCAACTAAATATTGTGCAGGCAATCAATAATACAATTTTTTATATTTGAAGCAGTATTTTTGTGTATAGTACTGGTATGTATAGTCCAGACGGTATCTGTTTCAAAAAGCCATATTAGGGTGAATCGTATATCCACTGAGATTTTTGGCTTTTTGGCTTTCAAATATCACTAGAAACGAAAATTTTTCTATGCGCATAAAAAAAAACGTGGGCTTAACTTTTGGCGGCACAATATGTTTAAAAAATTGGAAAAATGTAATATTTTTCTTCCTATTTAATTATGTATCTTTTTAAGAGTTGATTTTAGGCGAAAATGGAAGAGGAAAAAAATGTTTGTAATTAAATTTTTTACAATACATGACTGGTTACAAATCGAATGAATCATGATTATTATGGTAAAAATCGAAAAAATCACAAAAATGGGGTTAAAAAACAATACTTTTTAGGGAATTTTTTTGGTGTATTTAAATTGGGTGTAGGACCTTTATACTTGGCTCAAGAAAACTTCATGTTATGTAGAATCATCACACCAAATTTCATCAAAATCGGTTCGATAGATTTTGCATAATAATTTTGCAATCCAGATTTTGAAAAAAAATTTGCAAATTTTCAAA